ATCCCCCCTCTGGTCTGGGGTTCAATTCCCCCCAAATGATTCTTAGGAGCATGTGATGGTCGGGGCTCATATAATAACCTCTGACCATTCCTTTCAAAAAACTATATATATATATATATATATATATATATATATGTATGTATGTATACATATTTATATGTCTATATGTATATATACATAGATATATGTATATATGTATCTATGTATGTGTGTGTGTGTGTTTATTGAGCCTAATACAAAAATAATACTAATAAAATTGGCTTATTTACATGAAGGGGCTAGTTGAACAAAATATGCTCAAACGTGGCTAATGTACAATTTTAGTTACAGAGAAGTCTGTTCAGTTTGACACAACATTATGCCTAATGTGTCATAGTTTGCATCAATCTAGTCTAGGTAGCATGATGGTTAGTTTCCTAAAGATTGACATGTTTGTCTTGGTTTCTATGTTTAGAATTCTTGTGCTGCTTGTATTGCATTAATTATTCTAGAGGATGGATGTTGTAGGTTTACCTACAAAAGTATGATTGAGTAGCTTGAAACATAAGTTACATTTAATAGAGAAAAATTGATGGTATGCTTAAAGCTTCACATGAGATTATAGTATCCTTAATGCTTTATCATCTTCATTATTGGTCTTATCCCAACTATTTAGGGTTGGTGTTATGAATTTTCATTATCATTGTCTGAGTTGTTAATCTTGTTTTTCATAATTTTTTTTGAATAACTTATATTTATGTAATCTTAGGTCTACTCTTTTTTTATTATTTATCATCTAAATTGGGATTCCCTTCGAGTATTTTATTATTTGGGGTATTTACATATATTCCAAGGATTTCCTATGTATTTGCATGCAGTCCACTAATTCTTATCATTCGATGTATTATTTAGGGCTATTGTTCTATTTGTGGATTTCTATAAGATGGAAAACTTTGGAGAATCTTAATAGTCTAGAGTGTTGACTTGTTTCGCTAATTCATTCCTTCCTTCTGTGGAGAAAAGAATGAATTAAGCAATTTACAAGTTGTGAATCTATTAGTAGATTGCATAAATTTGTTATGATTAATAATTGAATTACGTAATTATTGGATTAAGCAATCATTATGTGCCTCTTTTTTGCAAGTGAAGTGTTAAGATGTGTGTATTTTTTTGAGCAGTCTATTTTGGTCATTCTTTCTAATGAGACATGAAGTTTTGATTTATATAAAAGGTATTAGACCATAAAGTATGAAGTTTTGATTTATATATGTCGTTGTTCTTTCTAATGAATTTCACGTGATTTTTAAGAGAGGGTCAGATGGTAAATAATCAATATGCATGAATTTCTTGTGATTTTGTGTGGTAAATATGTGAAGTTTCTCTACTAATTTACAATTTATTTTTCTTTGATATGGGTTTCTCTTTTTTTTCTATGTTATGAGCATAATAGAGTGATTCTTATGTTAATTAGTTTTTTTTTTTTGTTATAATTTAGTTGTCATATTGTGGAGGGAGTTCAAATGATTTAGATTCTTCTCAACAACCAGTGTTTATTGGCTCTACCCAACAAGAAAACTGAAGGCTTGTCACGTCAACTATAGATCAGATAAGATAAAATTCCTCTCTTTTTGCTGATTATATGTGGCAGAAGTTCTGCATTGTTTCACAACCCACTACATATCAAACTCAACTAAATGACTCCTCTATTTAGAAATAGATGATTGGGGCGAGGGCGAGTGTTGAACATATAATCTATTGGGAGCTGAGTAAAAGTTCTTTAAGCTTATGGTATGATGATTGGTCTCATGGGGTCCTCTTGCTTTCTTCTATGATGGGTCTTTGGATTTGTACTTTTCTGTCATGGATTGTTGGGATCAGAATGATTAGAATATGGATGTTTTATCTCAATTGGTTTCTCCTCTTGATGCTACTGCCATCTCTAATATCCATGTTATCAGGTCTGATAAAGACAAACTGATTTTCAAAGGCTCTCCAAGTCTCTCTATCACAGTCTTTTGCTAAATATATGCATGTTAATGTTGCTTCTGTCTTGAATCTCAAATTGATGCAGAATTCATTGCTCAAGCCTTCAATATGCTTTTTTAAATGGAGAATTATGCATTCTGTCATACCAACTGATAATATTTTAAACCTCGGGGGGTTAAGGTGCCTCTCTTCTGTTATTTGTGTAGGGAGGAGGAATAATATATTCCTCTTTTATTCATGTCTTTTAAAACCTCCTTGGGTGTGGCAATTCTCTTACAACAATCTAGGGAATGTTCTTCCTTCTACTGGTTTTCCTTCTATTCAAACTTGGTGGCTAGACTGGGCCACTCTCTCTAATCCTATTATCATGTCTCTCCCCATTATCATTTATTGGTTTATTTGAGTTTCTAGAAATAATATTAAATATGGACAGCCTTACAAGGATAACAACATCCCTATTATTATTGCATATATACTAAGTTATATCCAAAAAATCTTGAAGATTGTTGCAATTAAGGAGAAATTCAAGAATGATATGCTTTCTCTTAAACTCTCTTTTAACATGGCCTCATCTTCTGTTTTTAGATAGCACTCTTGTTTTTTTCAGGAAAAAATTCCTCAAGCTTGGGTTAAGGTTAACATTAATGGCAGCTTTTTGTCCAACTGTTCTGTTATTGGTGGTGTTTTCAGGGATTCTATGGGGAAGGCTCTCCTATTTTTTGGTTCACCTATTCATGTTAACTCTCCTCTTGTTGTTGAGGCTATGGCTGTCTTACTTGTTGTCAAACTGGCTACACACTTTAAGTGGGATCAAATCGTTGTTGAGATGGACTCTCTAGCTTTATGACATGCATGAAAGATTCTTCTAAAGCTCATTGTAAATATTACATGTTCTCAGACAAGTCTCTGTGATTTTTTCTTCTTTCAATATTCAATGGTCTTTCATCCCCATGGAGGGTAACCAACCTACTGATTGGTTAGCCAAACATGTTTGTACTTCTCAATTAATCTTTATGCATACTTCTCGCCCTTTCCTTTTATCCATTTTGCTCTATGGAGATCTTCTTCCTCTTCCTTACGTGAGATCTCCCCCCACCATTTAACCTGTTATTTTTAATTTATAAAAAATATATTTTGCAAATACATATGTTCGTGTGTGTGTTTATCGCCTACCGTGACTCTTTGGTTGGTAGAGTTTGTAAGACTCGTGAGATCAAAGATTCGATCTCGCCTCTAGCCAATCTTTTGAAATATATATATA